TGTATCATCCTTAAAAGAACTGAAAACAGTCACTCACATCATTTTTGTTAGGGCTTAATTCTTTTGTGGAACCTCAGTTGAGAAAGGCTGTATATATTCTCTCTTACTTGGTTTTCAGTTGCAGCTTTGGTATTATGGAATTCACTAATGCAAACAACAATCATTTACTGCTATATGCCAGGCCCTGTGGTAGGCTTGAAGACTTAATGGTGAACAAACAAGGACATGGCCCCTGCTCTCATGGAGATTTTGATGTTTAATTTGATGGAAGAGATGGTCAGTAATCAAATAATTACTGTAGTGAGTACATAATTAAAGCCTGGAAAGTGATGTGAAGGAAAGGAACTGGCTTCTCTGAGAGCTTTGTCAAAGGAATCTGACCTCTCCTGGGATTGTTGGCCAAAAGTGATGACAAGAGTTTAGAGGCCAGTGGACTAAGAAGCCTGGGGTTTGGGGCAAGTTGTTGACAAAATCAGTTTTCCGCTGTTCTCAGTAACTTGCAATCACTGTTTGATTTTACCAGCTGGATTTTAGGTCCAATCCACATCACACTGTTTATACTAGATGAGCTTAAAATATTGTGTAATAGTGATACTGATTGTGCCTTTCATATGCACTAAATCAGTGTAAGCGTAAATGTATACACTTGTATATGTGTTTATTTATTTTATAGGCTTTTTGTCGAGAGGGACAATATTCTTTTTCTCTTTGACTTCCCCATAGTGACTGGCAAAGTGTTTGTACAAGTACTTCAAAATTGTTTATTAAAGTTAATATTTCATAATATTTGATTTCAACTCCTCTCAGCAATTCTTTAAGTTAGATATGGGTTTACATACTTTCTTCATTGATGTTAAAACTAAGAACAGAGTTTAAAAGATTTTGATTTGTAATGATAGACTTCAGATTTAGAAAAAGAAGCCAGATTTTTTTTCTCAATGGAATCTTTAAACCTGCATCTTAAGTAGATTTTTAGTGCAGCTCTCAGTCCTAAATTGATTCATGAAATAGTGTAGAGAATGCACAGTGCACTTAGAATCAGAAGATATGTGTTAAAGTCTCAGGTTTGCCCATTATTTATTTTATGACTTAGAGTGAATTTTATTTCATTGACTCTTCTTTACCTATAGATGAGGCAGCCAGACTGAATATCTCTAAGGTCTTTTTCAACTTTAAGGTCCTCCCAATGTCTACTGTACAATAAATAATGAACTTTCATGAATTTAATTTGGACCAGAAATCAGTAACCCATTTTCACTCTTCCTGATTTTGCCACTGATCTGGAATAAATAACTTAATATGCATGTCAGTTATAGAGAATACAAATTCTAAATGGAAATCCTGTGAGATTTTGCCTTTTAGTCATGATGATACATGGCGAATTATTAAAAAAACATCAGCCAATACCCTCTTTAGATACTCATTCCTATATCATTTGGTATGTGCATAGGAAAAGAAAATTAATTTAATAAATTAGCATAAACAAAAAAATGGTAAGATAGAATTTTATTCAAATTTCCTTGCCATAGTCAGCATTTAGTCAGTATCTGTTTGGTAAGTGAATAAATTAAGCCAATAGTAATTTAGTATTATAACTAAGAATTATATAAAGCTGTTTTCCTGGGGTAGGTATAATTATTTTTTTTTTTATTTTTTTTTTTAAAGATTTTATTTATTTATTTGAGACAGAGAGAATGAGAGACAGAGAGCATGAGAGGGAGGAGGGTCAGAGGGAGAAGCAGACTCCCTGCCGAGCAGGGAGCCCGATGTGGGACTCGATCCCGGGACTCCAGGATCATGACCTGAGCCGAAGGCAGTCGCTTAACGAACTGAGCCACCTAGGCGCCCCTGGGGTAGGTATAATTATTAAGTGCTGAAATATTAATGGACACTTGAGTTGATTAACTTTTTATTTCTACAAAAGCAATAATTTTATCCCTTGGTTCAACGGCCACTGATTTACTTCATTCTTGGGGCTGGTAAAATCTCTTTACATGGGGCGGCCCTGCTATGAATCTATATATCAAAGGCACATAGGTATGTTCCCTAAGATTCAATTGGTGTGCAGTGAATATTCAAGAATACAGTTACCAGAAGAATAACCATGATCTCCTGGAAAATATTCTTGCAAAGTGTATATATAGAAAAAAATCTATCTTGGTTACTATTTTTTGAGTACTCGCTCTATGTCAGGCATTGCACTAAGAGCTTTAGATGTGTGTGTTCATTTTTTTTTTTCAGAAAAAAAAAACTACTATGAAGTATATGAACCATGATCTTTATAAAGATGAAGAAGCTAAGGCTCTGTCAGATAAAGTGATTTGTCTTTGGTGGGGGTTTAGGGGTGGGGACATCGAGTTGCCCCTACTGCACTGTTGCTTTGAGGGAGGTGGTCATTCTCCCTTAGGAACACCTGCAGTTTCTGACCCCTCATCCATAGTGAAGCCTGAGTTTGGGGGGGAAGGGATAGGCAGGCCTATTAATAAAAAGAATAGCATATACATATATATAAAGTTGACTTGCAAATATAGAATCCATAGGACATACCTTTTGAGTGTTTTTTTTTCTCATGATAAAAACCAATTAATGATACTTACTTTACACCAGTCCTGTTTTTTAAAGTGCATGAGGTCTTTGAAATACAACAACCATATGCAATATTTTTTATTATCATCATCCCCATAATGAGATGTTTAGACTGAGGTGCAGAAATGTTAGGCAATGTTTCCAAGGTCACACAGCAGAGGTATAGAGGACCTGGGATTCAAATCTCAGCAGGTCCCACGATTTTAACCACGATTCTATATCTTCTCTTTCTAGGCATAATAATATAGAAACACTAGTTCTGTATTCAGCTGGTTGTTGTAACTAGTTGCACTGGCCAGTGATGTCTAAGCTGCAGCTGTAGGAAGTAGTGACATTTTCCTCTTTGTTAAGCAGCTTGTATAAAAATGAAATTGAACAACGCTGACATACTTAGGAGCACGCTCTAAGCAACTGAACTAACTAGGAAGCATAAGGCCAGGCTATCAATAAGATAGCAGCAACCTTGTGACAGCAACCTTGATTATCTAAATAAGCTTTTCATAAATCCCTAAACCAGAGACCCATTTATGTGGTGACCAATGAAGATTCATAATCGCTTTCAGTAAGAGCTGTCTTGAATGTGAGTTTTGTTAACTCATTTCATTGTGGTTTTGCAGAACTGGTCCAGTTGGTTGCTGGGTTTGGTTCTGCACCTATAAACCCCCAGTTTCACAAGGCATCTAACTTCTGAAGAGGGATGAAGTAGGAGGGAGAGGGGGTTTCTAAGCAACAAGTAGAGGCTAAGACAGTACCAAAGCACCATCTGTTCTTAAGTATACTATGCTTAACAGTCACTGTTCTTCATAAAATTGTAGGGTGGCATTGTATTAAATAGAATTACTGAAAAAAAAAAAAGTATATCTGGAAAAGACCCTCAGAAAGTCAGTTTTCCTGGGATCCTACATAATGTTCTTAAAGGTTGGAGAAATGCTGGAAATGTAATGCTGTTTCTTTACATTTAAGCTCACATTTTTAGCAGATGAATTTTCAAAAATATATCTTTGGTGGCAAATTCTCTATAAATTGCAGATCTGCTTTATTTCTCTGTGTTCTTTTGAGGTCACCACACATAGGATAAGCTGTATGAGAAGGAAGGTTCTAAGAGAAAGCATCTAGGGGCCCCTGGGTGGCTCAGTCATTAAGCGTCTGACTTCGGCTCAGGTCATGATCCCAGGGTCCTGGGATCGAACCCCACTTCGGGCTCCCTGCTCTGTGGGAAGCCTGCTTCTCCCTCCCCCACTCCCCCTACTTGTGTTCCCTCTCTCACTGTCTCTCTGTGTCAAATAAATAAATAAAATATTTTTTTAAAAAAGAAAGCACTAATAACCTGGGGAGAGTCACATTTCAACAATATGATGGTTTCTTATCCAGGAGAAGCATGTTTAGGTTTTGCTTTTTGATCTTTTTGATGTTCTATGCAAATGAACCCTTGGCCTTGATTTATTTTTTTCCACACACATTTCATCCTTTTAGTCCTTCCTGCAGGGGCAGGGATACTTTTCTGCCCTTGATCAGATTTGTGGTAGCAGAGAATTGATAGCCGAGCTTAGCTGTGCCAAGCGTTCACTGTACTTTTATCAAGACCAGTGAGACACATTATCCTGGGAATGAAGGGACATTTGTCTCTACCTTTTAGAAGCTGTCTTTCACAATATTGTTAGGTGACCAAGAATAAGAATTAGATTGTATAATTGTACACCTGAAATTAATATAACACTGTATGCTAACTACACTGAATTAAAAAAAATTACAAAGAATTATATTGTACAGAAGAGTGAGAGAGACGAAGTCCATTAAAGGCCTATCAGGAAGTTGACTTGATGCTAAAGAGATTCAAACTCATTTCTGGGATGTAGGAGTCTAGATTCTTGAGATATCCAAAAGAACTGAGGGAGAAAACATAAGCCATTAAGAGTTTATGGCTGCCTTATGGGGCACCTGGGTGGCTCAGTTGGTTAAGCGTCTGCCTTTGGCTTGGGTCATGATCCCGGGGTCCTCGGGTCGGGCTCCCTGCTCAGTGGGGAGTCTGCTTCTCCCTCTGCCTTTCCAACCCACCCCACCCCCTGCTTGCGCACACTCTCTCTCTTGCTCATTCTCTCTCTCAAATAAATAAATAAAATCTTAAAAAAAAAAGTTTATGGCTGCCTTATTTTGCAGATAAATATTATTTGGGGCTCTGACTACTTTTTTTAAAACTCTATCATCAAGTAAGGTTTAATTCCAGGAATACAAGAATGATATTATATCAAGAAATTGATTAACATGGACCCTGATTATTTTAACAGTGGTTAAAAAGCAATAACCATTGTATAGGAAATTATATTTAAGGAGAGAAGTGTTTTCATTTTTATAAAAAACATGACATTAAAATTAAAGGGTGAAAGTCACTCTATACGATACATAAAAAGGCTTACCTGAAAATTTAAATGAAGAAGAATCTATACATAAAGACCCAGTTTTGCCCTGTAGCTTCTGATATAAAGTGGTTTCAATCCTATCCCGAAATTTTGCTGCAGTATTTTTGAAACAGGATTTAAACTTCAGCACAGCTTGTATTATCACTTTCCCTTGGGCTCGGCTGCAGAACGGAAACAGGCAAATAAATCATGTTTTTATTACTGGAACCTTGATCATTCTTAGTGGAGTCATTGTATAATTTTATTAAGCAGAGCTCCCTGCAGCTATCCCACTCTCCAGAGAGTGGAAATGGTACTTTATGGACATGGTGAACAGCAAAGAGAGCGTGATTTAGACTCAGGGGAACTGTGTTTGTATTCTAGATTCACCATCTGCCAACCCCTTGACCACAGCAAACCATTGGCATGCTCTGTACTTAAGCAAATTTCTGCATCTCTGTAATGGGGATAATATTATTTACCGGGTTATTGTACACACCATCTAAATTAACGTCTGTGGAGGTATTTTATAAATCTCAGTGATGTGCAAAAAAATATTTATTAATATAAATATATCTATGTATAATAAATCCACGATGGACTTTCAGAATGTAGGGCTAATAGCAAATAGTAAAATGAAACATAACAGGTGAGATGAGAGCATCATTTATTATCTTGGGTTTTTGTTTTTTGTTTTGGTGGAGGCACCATTCGCAAGAGTGGGCAAGTTCTCTCTCATCTGTTGGAAATCGTGAGGGAGAAAACACCTTACACTGGATTTATTTTGTTTGTAATTCTCACTTGAAGATGCAAGTGTATAAACCAGATATTTTTAAAGGGAGTAACTTCTACTGACTCGATGGGATGTCTCTATACTAGGTTTCTGTGCCTCCTCCCCTCTTCCCAGGCATTTCTCTGCATTTATGCATTTGAAAATCCACACAACCTCAGAGTATGTGACTCAAGAGAGATCTTGAAAACATCCACTTGCAAACCTTCACAATACCCATGAACAAACACAGAAACCATGGCTGAGATCCAAGATTTTCTGACTAATTGTAAAGCTTTATTATTTCAATAATATTTTTCCAGGATAATTCTAAATAATGGAATAGCTAAGTTCCATATCACCCCTTATTACTTTGTTTTAGGATATACATACACCAGATGCTCTTCCTTTGAACACTATACATGTATTCTTTTTATTTCCTCTGTACAGTAGTAAGAATTTAGTAGTTACATGTCAACTTATTAAGTATTCTCACCTCTTCTGCTTTTGTGCAGGTGTAATGCTAATTTTTTCTTGTCTGATTTGTAGAGACAAACCCTTTACTTCTCATGGAATGAATAGACGAGGACATGTTATATTGCTCTGTTTATTTTAAAGATTTTGTCAAACCATGCATGTCACTCTGAACTTTTCTCCTGGGTTGAAAAACGATCTAAAACTAAACTAAATACACACATATGGATTCTTAATGTGACATCATCAAAGTCATGACCCTCTTTTCTGCTGGAAACATGAACTACAGGTTATTTTAATGTTACCTTCTCTTGACTCATAAAATAATCTTTAGTTTTATATGACAAATGCCTGTAATTCTTTGCCATACACAGTTTTCCTTTCATTCCTGAAGTTTCAGTTCATTCATTCATTCACTTAACAGATGTGTATTAGCCCAGGCAATATATCAGACAGAGTTCTCAGTCAGAGCTTCATTAGCTATCAGCATATAAGACCACAAGGTGCCTGCATTCATGCTAGTAGGAGAAACAAGAAAATGAAGAAATAAAATAATCTTCAAGGTGTGTTCTATGAAGAAGACAAAAATGACTTGAAGGTTAGAGGTGGGAACATTATAGACAGCTGCAGGGACAGCTTCTTTGAAGTGAGGTCCTAATGACAAGAAGGAGTGAGTCATAAGAACTGGGGGGAGCAATGTCCCAGAAAGAAGGAACATCAAGTACAAAGGCCCTGGCCAAGACAGACTTAATACTCCCCTCAATTTTATTAAATGTTTTTTTCCTGACTCTAGATCCCATATCCCTTTCCTTATAGAGCATTTACTTTAGAAAAGTTGTGAATTCTTTTTCTGCCTCTTTGAACTGTATGCAAATCTTTTAAAAGCCTCTTGTAGTTTAAGAACCTCAGAAATGTCTTTCTTGAGGACCTGAAATCCATCTCTTTGAAATGTAACCCTCAAAGGAGATAGAGTCTGGGTGTCTCAGTCGGTTAAGTGACTGAGTCTTGATTTTGGCTCAGGTCATGATCTTAGGGTCCTGGGATCAAGCCTCATATGGGGCTCTGCGCTCAGCACAGGGTCTGCGTGTCCCTCTCCCTTTGCTCCTCCCTCTACTCCTCGCCCCTGCTCATGCCCCTCTCTAATAAATAAATAAAATCTTAAAAAAATAAAAACCCTATGGTCAGAGAGAGGCAGGGTACCCGGATCAGGTAGGGTCATATGGACTCTCTAAGGAGTTTGGCATTTGTGAGAGACTGTCAGAGGATATTAAGTAGGGGGAGGCTGTGCTCTTCCAATTCACTTTGATTGCTGTGTGCAGAATAGTCATGGAGCAAGAGTGAAGGCTGAAGTTGATACAGTCATCTAGATATAACTGCTTGGGTTTAAACTACAGCTTTGTAATTCATTAAATGTGTGACCTTGGCAAGTCACTTTGCTTCAGTATCTTCATCTGTAAAATAAGAAACTAACATATACATACCATACAGGGTGGTTATCAGGTTAAATGAGTCAAGATAAATAAAGTTTTAGGGGGCTACTGGTTAAGAGCATGGATTATTTAAACCAGGAAAATCAAACAGCAAAAGTTCTAGTTTTAGGGAGAAATAGATTCCAGAACATATTAACTTTTCTATTTGTGCTTGTGGTTACTATTTTTTTCGTATCTGTTTCAGGTTATCTGTGCCTCACCAGTGTTTGGATAAGTATCTTTGCAGCTAGACAATAGCTGTAGAATGGGATTCCTAGAGGAGTCAGGAAGGCAAAGGAGAAGAGTGCAGATGGCTGGGTGCAAATATATATGCACGCATCATGTGAGCATTAGCAACTGCCACTGTGTGGCCTCGGTTTCAGTGCACTGTTGCCACGTGGGGATGTGGGCCCTGTATTGCCAGATCTTTTTATTTTTCAACACATTCTGAGAATTATGTGTTTTATATGACATTTCCCAACTTTTATTTTTTAATTTTTTTTAGATTTTATTTATTTGAGAAAGAGAGCACAGAAAGAGAGAGAGCATGAGCAGGGGGACCATGGGCAGAGGGAGATGGAGAAGCAGGCTCCCCACTGAGCAGGGACTCCCCCCATGTGGGGCTCAATCCCAGGACCCTGAGATCATGACCTGAGCCAAAGGCAGATGCTTAGCCGACTGAACCACTGAGGCACAGCCCCAGCTTTTACATTTAATTCACAACTCTTAGCTAGATTTGGCTAGATAGCCAAATTAGTTTGCCCATACTGGGCCAGATATTCTGTCCTCTCTTATCTTACCCATTCTTTTCTTATACTGAAATCATCTCCTGACTTTAGATTTGTTTTTTGACTTGTGCCTTCAAATAAAAAACAAACCCATGCAACCTTTACCTGAAACTCATAATCAGTCAGAATTCTTGGTTCCAGTTAAATAATTTTCCAAAAAGATCTTGAATACCTTTTTTCACATTTAAAAATGCTAGTGGTTTTGAAGCCTCAAGGTAAGATTTATTTCAGTCTTTCAATTTATACCAACTGAAGATGAGGCATGAGGGTGAAGGACAGAATTTTCTGCTCTATGCCTCGGGCTATTTTACATACCTTACTTGGACAACGTGTGATTTGACATACTGTCTTCTCAGTTTGGATCCATGAAATGTTTCATTTATCTGTTAAAAAGTAAAATGAATAGTGACTGCTTTATTTTTAAAAAACTTAATTTTTCATTGTGGAGAACTCCAAACATACACAATAACAAATGAAAGTGTATAATCAACCCCATGTACCCATCATTCAGCTTCACCAGTTATCATTAAATAGCTAAACTGGTTTTATTTTACTACTACCTGCATCCCAGGAATTAAATAAATCCTTAATATCATTGAGTACATAGAGGTTTGAGAAGAGAAAAAGAAAGAGATAGAGGGAAAAAATAATAAACAGTGAGAGAAAATGGTTCTGAATTAAAGATCATCATTCACATATCCCAACTAAGAAAAAGCATGACAAAGAATGGGAGAAGATATTTGCAAATGACATATCAGATAAAGGGCTAGTATCCAAAATCTATAAAGAACTTATCAAACTCAACACCCAAAGAACAAAGGATCCAATCAAGAAATGGGCAGAAGACATGAACAGACATTTTTCCAAAGAAGACATCCAAATGGCCAACAGACACATGAAAAAGTGTTCAACATCGCTTGGCATCAGGAAATCAAAATCAAAATCTCAATGAGATACCACCCCATACCAGTCAGAATGGCTAAAATTAACAAGTCAGGAAACGACAGATGTTGGTGGGGATGCAGAGAAAGGAGAACCCTCCTACACTGTTGGTGGGAATGCAAGCTGGTGCAGCCACTCTGGAAAAGAGTGTGGAGGTTCCTCAAAAAGTTGAAAATAGAGCTACCATACAACCCAGCAATTGCCTACTGGGTATTTACCCCAAAGATACAAATGTAGGGATCTGAAGGGGTACGTGCACCCCAATGTTTATAGCAGCAATGTCCACAATAGCCAAACTATGGAAAGAGCCAAGATGTCCATCGACAGATGAATGGATAAAGAAGATGTGGTATATATATACAATGGAATATTATGCAGCCATCAAAAGGAATGAGATCTTGCCATTTGCAATGATGTGGATGGAACTAGAGGGTGTCATGCTAAGCGAAATAAGTCAATCAGAGAAAGACATGTATCATATGACCTCACTGATATGAGGAATTCTTAATCTCAGGAAACAAACTGAGGGTTGCTGGAGTGGGGGGTGGGGTGGGAGGGATGGGGTGACTGGGTGATAGACACTGGAGAGGGTATGTGCTCTGGTAAGTGCTGTGAATTGTGCAAGACTGTTGAATCTCAGATCTGTACCTCTGAAACAAATAATGCAATATATGTTAAGGAAAAAAAAAAAGAAGATAGCAGGAGGGGAAGAATGAAGGGGGGGAAATCAGAGGGGTAGACGAACCATGAGAGACGATGGACTCTGAAAAACAAACTGAGGGTTCTAGAGGGGAGGGGGGTGGGAAGATGGGTTAGCCTAGTGATGGGTATTGAGGAGGGCACGTTCTGCATGGAGCACTGGGTGTTATGCACAAACAATGAATCATGGAACACTACATCTAAAACTAATGATGTAATGTATGGTGATTAACATAACAATAAAAAATTTAAAAAAATCAGAAATGAGATCTCAATAGAAGGAAAGATGAAGAGAGGGAATAGTGATGAGCAGTGAAACCTGAGGAGGGTGTGTGTTCAGTGCAATGAGTGTATAATTTCAATGCTTGCAGTGGAAGCAATGTACTTTAGAAAACATTCTAATAATAGTTTAGAGCATCAGATACTATGTCAGCAAAACCTAATCACCAGAAATAGGGCCAGGGGAAATAGAAGTGTTAAAAAGCTTTTTCAAGAGTAAAGAATAGGAAGGGAGGAGAGGACAAAAGTGAAAATAGTTAAAAGCCTAAGGTTGGGCTTAGGTAAGAGAAATAACATTTGATGGGGCTAATAATTTCTGTAATACTAGTGGAAAAATATATGCATCCAAATTTGAGTCCAGGGAAAATAATTTAACTATTAACTAAATATATTGAAATTTCCAAGAAGAAAAAAATACAATGAAAAACAATTTAAAACCAGTCACAAGGAAAAGAAAGCAAAAAAGTAAAATAGATAATTTACTTAAAGGAAACTGGAGAAATAAAATCAAGTATACTACTTGTTACAATTAATGGGAATAGGGAAAATTTTGTCATTGATCTATCAGGTTGCTTTCAAAATCAAAACCTCGTTATCTATTATTTAAAACATCCATACTTGTAAATAAAGGGATGAAAGACTGTTGGAGATGAAGCTATGGGAAGGAAATACTATCCCATTAATGTGGAACCCAATAATGGAATCGAAAAATATATCCTAGAATATATGGACCTTTAGGATATAACAAGGATGGCATTTTAATCATTGGAATAGGCTGGATTATTTAATAAGTAGTATTAGCTCAACTGGCAGATTATCTATACCAGAAAGAAAGTAAGTCTGGGCTCCTACCTTAAACTAAACCTACTTCCATATGGATAAAGACTTAAAAGTGGGGGACAAAAATTCCTAGGAAACCAAATATACTTCTTAGTGTATTGATGGCAACATTTCTGTCATTGTATGACACATTGGGTTGTTTCCATTTTCCTTCCATCATTTCAGTGAGATTTGAGGAGAGAATGAGGAATCAGCAATCTTGCCTTGGAAGTCAGGCTGGACCACTTTAAAAGGATAATTATTAAAATGTACTGAATGATTAGATAATGGAAATTGTGGAAATTGACTGTAAGATACAATGATTACTGTTGAATCACAGACCTGTACCTCTGAAACAAATAATACATTATATGTTAAAAAAAAAGAAGAAGAAGAAGAAGATAGCAGGAAGGGAAAAATGAAGGGGGGGAAATCGGAAGGGGAGAAAAACCATGACAGCCTATGGACTCTGAGAAACAAACTGAGGGTTCTAGAGGGGAGGGGGTAGGGGGATGGGTTAGCCTGGTGATGGGTATTAAAGAGGGCACGTTCTGCATGGAGCACTGGGTGTTATATGCAAACAATGAATCATGGAACACTACATCAAAAACTAATGCTGTAATGTATGGTGATTAACATAACATAATAAAAAAAAAGACATAATGACTAGGTGAGTGGGAGAATGGTAATATAATGAATGGAAACTGGGGAGACTAGACTGAGGACCACAAATGACTGCTAAATTCTTTTTAAAATAGGCTTCAGTGTGAACTCAGACACCAGATATGGCACTGTCTCCAAATCAAAATATAACAACTTGCAGTGCTTTTAGTTTTCGTGCTTCTTTCCAAAGACTAGCTATTTGTAGTTTGTTCAAACGTTCTTAATTCTTCATCCCTCTTTTTATTATCTTCATCTTCCCAAACCTCACAACAGCTCAAAAGATCACCCACACCTTAAATAATCCCAAAGCCTGCCATCCTTACAATGAATAGTAACTTTAGGCTGCGGGTGTTCCAAGGAGCTGTAAGGTGAAGTTATGGAAATTGTTCCAGTAACACTTATGCAATTCCTATTTTCAGGAAGCTCAGTCTCTATAGGAAAAAAGTTGTCAGATATTTGACCCAAAATCAAATGGGAAATTTCAGAAACCCACATAGGATTCAGAACTAATTATTTTCCCAGAAATAAGGAAAGACAAGATTGGAAATTCAAATGGAAATCAAAAGACACACATAATACAAACTTCAAATCTTTCTCTTTCATACCAGGTAAGCTTAATTTTTTTTTACTTTTCTCACATTCTTCACTTGACACTCCCTCTCCCTTCTTTCTCTTTGAACAAAAATGTACAAAATTCTTGCCAAGTCACCAGTTAGACAAGCAGGTGGAAAGAGGTTCTGGACTGTGTTGATGGGAAGATCTTGAGAATGATGAACCGGAGGATGAGCTTATTAAGCACAAAATCATGATCATTTATGATGTTTAAATCACCTTTATGGGTGAGAAATTGGTCATCACAATACTTATCAAATACAGGAGGCTCAAAAGTACAAATCAATACATGTTTTTAATAAATAGAGGAACTTGATCAAAGCCTAAGTGTATGGTTATATACAAGGAATTGTCTATGAAAAATTTCAGACTAGATTAGATTTTCTGAAGATCAACAAATAACTATATCACAAGGAGAAGGAAAAATTTCCAGAAAGTAATTGGAGCCACTTTTCTGAGGAATTTCTGGTTTCTAATTTATCAAATTTTAGCATAGTAACAGTTCAGTATTGTTTAACATATTCATTTATAATTAATTATACAAACCATCCACATATTTAAAATTCTCTCTTTCAAATCAGTTCACAAATATATAGGAAAACATTTTATTGATGATGTTGTTATATTGTTAAATTATACTGTTAAATGTGTGACAAAGGATTGTAAGATGATGTGTTGTTATAGAGATAGGAAAATACTACCTTCACAAGACAGATATCCCAAAAGTGGATGCAAAAGAGATAGCATATTTGCTAGTTAGATGCTCTCAGATGTGGAGCATCTGGGTCTATGGTTCTTTCTTTCGTTTTACAGTAACCACCCTCCCCTCATGACTACAGACAATCCAAAATATCTAGTATTTATTTCTTCTATTCTTGTTTTCCAACTGTAGAAAAGAAAACTAGCACATCAGTAATTTTGTTAGTTATCTTTATATCATTTGAAATATGAATAACAACTCTGTAATGTTGATTACATTTTTTTGATAAACCTTGCATCTTCTTAATTTCTTCATGGCTGAAAATTTAATGTACAATGATTTCCATTTAATACATCAGATATTGTTTTGTTTTAAAAATAACCTAGATTAGGGATGCCTGGGTGGCTCAGTTGGTTAAGTATCTGCCTTTGGCTCAGGTCATGATCCTGGAGTTCTGGATCAAGCACCACATTGGGCTCTCTGCTCAGTGGGGAGGCTGCTTCTCCCTCTCCCTCTGCCTACCACTCTGCCTACTTGTGCTCTCTCTCTCTAATAAATAAATAAGATGTTAAAAAATATTTTAAAAAATAGCCTAGATTAGAGAGTATAATAATATGGAATTTGGGACCACTGCTAGTGCTTTCATTTTCTGAATATGTTTTGAGGGTC